AGTGTTCTTTTAAGGAAACGGCCCACCAAGCACCAATGCCCCGATACTTCAGTCGCAGCAGCCCATCATCCAATTCGGCGTTGGGAACCCGATCCAACGCCGGCGAGGCCGCTGACTCCAAACGGCTCGCAGCCCTGCACGTGAGCGGCACGGGCATCCAGTACCAGCAATCCAGCGGGGCGACTGGGCGAGGCGAGCCAGGCAGGATTCGACCGTTGCGTTCTCCGCCCAAATCTTAAGCCCCCACCCATTCTAGATCGCCCCACAATTCCAATTCCAAGCTTCTCCTCGCCTCGCCTCGCCGCTCCCCGTCCCCAATCCCTACCCTCTTCCTCCCCCTCCGCGCCGCTCCTCCAGGCTCCTGGCTCCAGCCATGGCGATCGCCACCGAGTCGCGCGGCAGCGAGCACAGGGTATATTACTGCTCCCTCTCCCCTTCTCCCCCCCCGCGCCCCGCCCCCCCTGGTCGGATCCGCCTGCGCATGATTTTGGCTGGCATCCGCGCGTAGCAGTGGATTCGTGGGGTTATTCGAGCGATTGGCGTGCCGTAGCCTTGGTGTGCTTGATTGTAGTTGTCTCCGTGGTCAAATTGATTGTGGGTGCTGTTGCTCCTAGGTTGCTCGTCTGCTCGTGGACGCGACAGGGTCAAACAGACGTTTCTTATTTTCCTGCGTGTGACATTAATATATCGTTGCTTTGTTAGCTGTGCGCAGCCTGTTTTCTCAATACCCTTTTGCGGAGTGATGATTAAGGTTTGACCTCTATTGGTGCAAAGCATTGGCGTCCCCTTTGCTTGGTTTGTTACACGTTTTTTTTAAGGAAAAGTTGGTTACACGTTGCGACAGTGAAGTATGGGGTTTACGGAGGGATCCTTCCTTTTGGATTTTAACTCTCCGTTCTGTTGCTGGTCTGGTTGTCCCTGAACATCGCTCCATTTGAGTGATTTTCTTGTGTTTAGAGGGTTAGTAAACTAGTATTCATGGCTGATTAAGCTTCTAATGATGGTTTGTGGCTTCAGGGTACTGTGGTAGTGCTTGCGAGCTTGGTACCCTGGCCACAGTCCATTTTCTCAATATCCTTTTGCAGAGTTGATGATTAGGTTTGACATCTATGTGTGCAAAAGCATGGGCGTCCCCTTTGCTTGGCTGGTTATACATTGTGCCCGTGAAGTGTAATATGGGGTTTACGAGATCATTCCCTTAGGATTTTAACTCTCCATTCTGTTCCTGGTCTGGTTAACCCTGAACTTCGCTCCATTTGACTGTTTTTCCTGGGTTTAGAGGGTTAGTAAACGAGGATTCATGGTTGATTAAGCTTCTAATGATGGTTTGTGGCTTCAGGGTACTGTGGTAGTGCTTACGAGCTTGGTAGCTTGGTTGCAGTGTAATGGAAATATAACGATGCATTTTGTTTTCACTTTGCAGGCTTCAGCCCATGCCAACGTGGAGAAGCGGTGGGTACTGTCTGACTTTGAGGTTGGAAAACCTCTTGGGAGGGGCAAGTTTGGGCACGTTTACCTTGCCAGAGAAAAGAGGGTAAATAACATGTTTAAGCTTACTTGCACTGATTATTGTGAGTCTCTAACTTTACTGAATGATTTACTGTACCGTGATGCTTGGAGTTGACTACTTCAGTATTGTAAAATGTCTGTATCTACTAAGTTTGGGGCACGTTTACCTTGCCAGAGAAAAGAGGGTAAATAACATGTTTAAGCTTACTTGCACTGATTATTGTGAGTCTCTAACTTTACTGAATGATTTACTGTACCGTGATGCTTGGAGTTGACTACTTCAGTATTGTAAAATGTCTGTATCTACTAAGTGAACTTTTTATATTATGGTATACTCAGCTTAATATACTACTGTAACTAATGTTAATTGTCAGAAATTGCACTGATTGTTTTTAGTCTTTAGCTTAGCTGAATGGTTACTGCACCGAGATTGCTGATAATTGACTAATTCAGTATTGTACCCTGTTTCAGTATCTAGTTACTGAACTTTTTATATTATGGTATACTCAGAAAATATACTACTGCAAGTCTGTAACTAATGTTATTTGTCAGGAAGTATTGCACTGATTATTTTTAGTCTCTAGCTTAGCTGAATGGTTACTGCACCGAGATTTCTGGTATTTGACTAATTCAGTATTGTACCCTATTTCGTATCTACTAACTGAACTTTTTTTATATTATTGTATGGTCAGCAACTATACTAATGCAACTAATAATGCTATATAGTCAGCAAATGGACCACTGCAACTAACAGTAAACATGTTGAATGACAATGCTGGAAACGTCTTATAGAGTGTTTTTTCCGTTTATGCTTTAGTTAATCATCCTAGTGAGCAGCTAGGGCTTACCGTACTTCTTTTTGTGGAAACAGAGTAGTCAGATTGTGGCTTTGAAAGTTCTTTTCAAGAGCCAGCTCAAGCAATCACAGGTCGAGCATCAGCTGCGACTTGAAGTGGAGATTCAAAGTCATCTTCGACACCCGAATATTCTTCGCCTGTATGGGTACTTCTATGATCAGGTAAAAAACTATCCTCATTTCTAATATAGAATTACCATTGCTTCGTTTATAGGCCAAGAGTGGTCATCATTTCTCTGTCATGTGAAATTCTCAGACCCGGGTTTACCTAATCCTGGAATATGCTGCCAAGGGTGAACTGTACAAGGAACTGACAGGGTGCAAACATTTTTCAGAGCGGCGTTCAGCGACTGTAAGTTGTTGCTCTATACATGTACTTGGTGAATCTGTTTGCAGTTCATTTTTCAACAAAGTAGTAATGGATATTTCCTTTTATTTTTAGTATATCGCATCACTGGCTAGAGCTTTGATCTACCTTCATGGCAAGCATGTTATCCACCGGGATATTAAACCAGAGAATCTTTTGGTTGGAGCCCAGGTACTTGAATTGTGTTTTTTTTTTCGTATCCCTGATCTGGAAGACTGGAACTCTATGCTTACTTTCATTGTTGTATGTTTCCTTGGAACAGGGCGAGATCAAAATTGCTGACTTCGGTTGGTCCGTGCATACCTTCAACAGAAGACGGACTATGTGCGGAACTCTGGATTACCTGCCACCTGAAATGGGTACTTTGCTAACCATTTACCTCCAGTTATCAACTAGCTCAATGATTTTTGAAAATTCCCACAGCTGTTCCAGTTCTCTATTGGCCTAGCTGCTTTCCTTGGCTCTGAATCCTGTTCTGATTTGTCCAGTGGAGAAGACAGAACATGATTACAATGTCGACATATGGAGCCTGGGTATTCTATGCTATGAGTTCCTTTACGGTGTCCCACCTTTTGAAGCTAAGGAGCACTCAGAGACATACAGAAGGTAACTCCACAACTCTGGGATCTTAGTAGTATGCAATTTTGTCCCTAATTTGCCCATATGAGTTCTAGATTATTTCTTGTGACTTTTGAGCTATGCTCTGATAATTGTGAGGAGACTTTTGAAGTTGCATATAGTGCTAGTGTAGCAAAGAGAATGCACTATATTGATCACCACAGCTCCACATGTTTTTAGATCCATGATTTTTTCTATCTAATATCATTAGTATATATGTAATAGCATACTGAATATCTATCCTTGTGGTTGTGAAACTTGAGTCTTTGACTTGCTTATTTTGTGGCTTTGCAAACAACTGCTGTTTTCTGAAAGCAACTATTGGATCTTAGTATGCAGCGATTTTGTCCCTAACTTGCCCATATGAGTTCTAGATTATTTCTTGCAACTTTTGAGCTATGTCTGATAATTAGTGAGAAAACTTTTGAAGTTGCATACAGTGCTAGTGTAGCAAAGAGGAAGCACCCCACAGCTTCACATGTTTTAGATCCATGAATTCTTTCTATCTATCATTAGTATATATGTATAGCATAGTGAATATCTACCCTCGTGGTTGTGAAACTCAGAGAGCAACTGCTGTTTCTGAATCTGTCGTTTTTACTTGGATACAGGATAGTGAAAGTTGACTTGAAGTTCCCACTGAAACCATTCGTTTCACACGCTGCGAAGGATTTGATTTCTCAAGTAAGAAGTCTTCAGTTTTTCCTTTGTCTTGTAAAGAAAATGGCTGTTCAGATTCAGATAGTCATATCCCTGAACCTCATCAATTGTTGTACACAGATGCTGGTCAAGAACTCGGCGCAGCGGCTGCCTCTCCACAAGGTTCTTGAGCACCCGTGGATCGTCCAGAACGCTGACCCTTCCGGCGTGTACAGAGGGTAGATCCACCACCGGCTGAAGGCTGCCTGCCTCTCCTCCACTCTCCCCAATTCGAGGGGAGTGCGATTCTTTATTTCTTTCCACTGTTGAACTAAGCTTCTGTCGGCCGACCGAACTGCCACACCCCGAACTGTATCTTGTAGCACCGTCTCAACGCAGATACTACCAGGCAATGTGGACTAGCGTCTGTGTGATGACTGATGAGGCCCGTGAGGATATGGCAAAATGCCCTGCATTCCTGTTGAACAACCTTCTTGAGCCTGTTCGGCAGGCCGTAAATGATCGTGGATTATTTACTGCTGGCTGGTTTGGTGTGAGAGAAAAATACCGTTCCGGCTTATAATTCACGATCGTATACGAGCAAGCGAACAGGTTGACGATATATATGAATATATATCTGTTCTAAGCCTCTCTGAAGCTTAATATTTCATTTGTCAGCCCATATGAGCCTTGAAGAATCACGGCCGTCCAGTTATGAACTGACTGACGATGGCTGTGGTTTGTTGAGGGGAGAAGGGTTTGTTCAAGTCTTGTGATGTCTGGGAAAATGCGGAAGATTTTGCCCCCACCTGACGAAATTAATACATGATAGCAACGTTATTAGCCCATTCACAACCAAAACTGAGCTTACTTCAGCGAAGCATATATTATTACCAAATGCTCACATTATCCAAGCCTATCTATAGTAGTGGTCGCTACTCTCTACAACGACCATCTATAATTACATGCTTAATGATACTATATATATATCCTTGCGTATTCTTGTGCCCTTCACCCTGTCCCATTGCATTTGGACGCGTCCTTCACCGGCGAGCTCTTGCCTTCCAGGAGCTGCGTGTTGTGCAGGTGGTGCTCGTCGTCGTCGTGCTTCATGTTCTCCACGTCCTCGTGGCTCAGGAAGCAGGGCTGGTTCGTCGAGCACAGCACCCTCGCCCACATCCGGTCCGTGATCACCACCTTGTTCTGCTTCTCGGTGATCCTCTGCAACAAGAGATTGTCCAGGTTTCAGACCATCAGAATCAACCGGTGTTCAGGAAGCTGGGCTCAATCGCACAACACAAGGCCCTGGACTTACATAGAACGGGATGTAAGCGTGTCTGCCATTGACTGGAGCGACAGTGAAGCCGGTGTACCCCGCCATGGCACCATGGAGGGCGCTGTGGGCTAACAGAGTGCAGTAGACGTTGTCAGAAGCATTTGACCTGACAGCACGGATCATGTAAGTCGGGTCAATGTACTTGAGAGTTATCGGGAAGCTGGGCTTCTTCTTGAAATGATCCTGCATGACGAAGAAATGCTACAAATTCAGTACTGCAATGAGACCAGGGGCACCATTGTTCCAGCTAATGGCAAGGATAGAGAGAAGAGAAGACATAATTCATTTTATAGGATGGCTTGATTTTACATTAAGTTCTGCTACTGGGGAATTATCCATTTATGATAATAGAGCTAACTGAATGGTAGAGGAGGCAGATCAGGTTCTCTGTCCCCACTTGACAAGGAAATCAAGATTTGGACCTACCTTTATCTTCTGGGATAACCAAAGGCCAACATCCAGAAGCAGCTTATTTCCCGAAGCATCTTGAGTGTCCACGAAATTCATACTTTTTGCGATAAGATCCTGTCCAGCACCCTCAGCCACCACAATGACCATATGACCATTGTCCTTGAGCCGTTTCTCAATGAACTCAAGGAGTCCTCCCTTCCCTTCAAGGTAGAAGGGTGACTCTGGGATTAAACAACAATCCTGAGGTAGCAAGTAGAATGAAGTGGTCAGTCATTTGACTCAATATTTTTTTTCTCATGTTGAACATAAAATGAATTAGCAGAGTGTTAAGAGCATACCACATCACGGCTAGCTAGAGTAGCATACATCGCAATAAAACCTGCATCAGATCAGAAGAATTTAAAGCTTATTAGTTACTTATAATCATCATAGTGCTGCAAAATATGTTGAATAGGGAGATAAACATACCACTGTTGCGACCCATTAGCTTCACGACACCAATGCCATTCTCTGCACTTTCAGCCTCAACATGAGCAGCATTGATGGCCCTCTGGGCCTCCTCCACAGCAGTGTCAAATCCAAACGACTTGTCAATCACCTGCATAAGCAGTTCAAGATGAAGCTATAATCAGGAATGAACAATATTTTGCTACTTTTCAAAGACACAGGAGCAGCAGAAAGCACAAAGTACCGCGATGTCATTATCAATGGTCTTTGGGATACCAACAACAGAACATTTGAGGCCCCGTCTACGGACTTCCTGAAATCATGTTTCAAAAATTTCGAGTCACACATCATATTTGCATCTAACAACAATTTCTAGAAATAGAATCATCTGGATGCATGTATTACCTCATAAATTACAGAAGCACCTTTCTGAGTACCATCACCTCCAATAATATAAACCTGGTTAATACCACGGTCCTGAAGACAATCAACAATTTTGGCAGTGTCATGCCCTCCTCTTGAAGTTCCAAGGACAGTCCCACCTCTCTTATGGATGTCGTTCACTGACTTTGGTGTCAACGGAACAGTATTTTTAGAATAGAAACCCTTGTATCCACCCTACACATTACACATACATAATTAGTCCAGAAATGAAACAAGGTGGCACAAAATGTTTTATAAGTATATTATCCTCATACTATTAGACAACATCATGTGGCTAGGTGGCAACAGGAAAAGTTTATCATTGTTTTGCTATAAATAATTTGTAATCTTAACTAATCCAATTAAATAAGCAGTTGAGAAACTGTTCAATTGTGATCTTAAACCGTTCAAATTAACTAGTAAATATTGTTAGCATCGTCATGAGCATTGTAACCTACACATGTGGAAGAATAAAAAACATTTTCACAAGACGAACACTGTGAAACTCCTCAGTCCTCACCTCTATGCCAACAATGCTGGTGACACCATACATATCATACAACCCGCAAACAAGCTCGCGGATGACCGTGTTCAACCCGGGGCAAAGCCCACCGCAGGTGACAATGGCGGCGTTCACCTCATCAGACTGGAAGTACACCCGCTGCCGTGGCCCGGCACGCCGGAAGTGGGTGCCCCTGGCACTGGTCTTATGAACAACAATCTGCAGACAGTCATGCCACAAGATTAGCACCGAACAAGACCACTACGAAGTCCCAATTCATTGTTTGCCAAAGAAAAGAAAGCCTCACCTTTTGCGTGACGGTGTCGTCTGGGTTGACGAAATACTGCCTGAGAGAAACACGTGGTGGGAGAAAGGTCAGCTTTGGAACATCCGTGTCTGGATGGATAAGAATCAAGTTGGAATGGAAATAGTGAAATGGAAGCACGAAATGAGGAGAAGAAATCATACTTGACGACTGAATACGCCGGGTTGTCTTGGAGGGGATTCGGGTATGTCTGCAGATCGACAACACCAATGAATTCAGTAATCAGTGAAACTAACAAAAAAAACAGATTAAAGTTCATATCATATTTTGCTGTGTCTCTTTCTTTCAGATGCTGATTCCCTCTGCCACAAACTCTATCGGAGGAACCAGACACTTTTACTGTGAGATCAATATGTGAAAACTCAAATCCAAACTAGAATCCGCATGCTCTCAACCTAAGATAGACCAAAAGAAAAAAAAAGGGCAGAAACCAAAATCGGACAACACTAAAAAGAAGAAAAAAAAAAGCCAAGAACTTTCCAGTCCACGCCGGGAACTAACCGTCAGGAAACCGGCTGTCCCCAACGTGAGACACCAAGAAGACGGGGGACTCTCGCACGCACCGGGAGCTGGGGCAAGTAATCCGTGAGGTGCGGCACGTCCTCGAGCACGTAGCCGGCGTCGCCGCCCACCAGCTTCTTCTTCATCGCCCACTTCCCCGCCGGGGACGCCTTGGCTCTGCCGTTGGCGGCGGCGGGGAAGGGGTCCTTGAGGTCAAGCAGCTTCTTCTTCTCCGGCGCCGCCACGGGCGCAGGAGCGACGCCGACGGCTTCCATCGCAGGGGGCCCGTGCCGCCGGTGAACACGAAGCAAGCTTTCTTGTCCGCTCGCCCTGTGTGCGCGCGCGATCAAGAGTCTCAGTTGGACCCTGCGGCCAGCTAAATCTTTTCTGCGAGTAATCTGAGGCTGTTCTTGGCGTCTGCGGAAGCCGCGGGCCGTTATATATCGGGTTTGGGCGGGATTAGCGCGCTGCGCCGCCGTTAAACGTCCCGTTTGACGACGGCGACGGACGGAGGAGGAGCGAAGGGGGGCAGGGGGGAGAAGAGAAGGTTCGCGGCTGTGGAACAAGGGCTGGGATTTCCGTTTTTTTACGGGCTCTGCCATTCGGTGCGTGCCGTCCGGTATGGACCCGTTCGCTTGGCCGAAAAACAAACCGAAACATCGTTCCAGTTGATTTATCGTTCGAGAAAAATATTGTTCTAACTAAATAAATAAGTAAAAAAAGATAGATTATAAGAGAAGAAGGCTAAAATTATAGAAAGTGGAATATTCTCCATGACATTGGCGTGCAACATTTGAATTTTTTATTTTTATTATCCTTCCTGTTTGAATTGGGGTCACCGGTCACGACAGGGTGAGTAGAGTTTGACGACGTGCAAGATGAAATGACGTCATATACTCTCTTTGTTCTAGGATAGTTAACACTTTAACTAGATTCACAACTAAATAATTAATTAGTTTTCAACGGAGGGAGTACCTTAGATAATTTTTACAAATGTGACCAATTATTCTTCATTGAGAGCTTGTTTGACTACATTTCAATCCATACATATTATTGAGGTGTAAAAATAGTTAATTTTTCATCTGCACCCATACATATGGAGTAGGATGATTAAGGTGCAGCCAAACAGTCCTGAACGTGACTAGCAGTGGAAAAGGGTGAATATAGCTAAATATGATGGGTATCAAGTAAAGTGGATAATCTATATTATATGTACAATGTACTTACTCAGTTAACATATTTCAGTTATGATATGACAAAATTTAGTGAAAACTTAGGTACAAACATTAATAACTCTTAAACTGTTTAGTTTGAAAGTTGAGTTGTCAAAACGTATTCAAAATACTTGAAAAATCTTATAGGTTGGAATGATTTTAAGAATATATTTGAGAATAAACAAGTGTGTGGTCGAATATATACATTATTAAAGACCATGATAAATATCTGTGACTGGATAGAGCTATTGGATATTTTAACTGTTATTATGCCTGGAATGCACATATTATGAAACTCATATCCCACCCCTTAGCTCAGACAAGCGTCTATGGTTAGGTAAACAAGCTAGAATGAGCATACTTGGTCGGATTATAATTTTGGTTTGCTTTATACATGTGAGTCACCCTTATTAGGTCTTGTACAAAAGGGTGAAGGCACACTCTAATAGATATTCTTGACCCTACTCTATCTTTGTACCAACATTTGGTTTTTATCTAGGAAGCTATAGTATTGGTCTAAGGTCAAGTTTTAGGCCTGTTTGATACTTATAACAAACATATCAGTTAATGGGTAGGTATTTCTTTTTCGCCAAGGCCTTTTTACTCAATTGTTAGCTCACTTATAGGCAACACCGGCTAACGTGGGCTAATAGGCGAGAGGAAAAAAAGTCACTCTTACAAGCCACGTCCAACAATTTGATGTAACTAGAGCCTGTTTGGTTCTTGACATGGAGAAATTGTCTAGTAGACTAGATAGTATCATTTTGGACATTTGAAGCTAAGGGTTGTCGCTTGGTTAGGCTTCCCAAGGCATATAGTCCAAACACATCCCCTACTGCTGAGATCCAAACACCATCTAGGTAATAATTTTTTTTTTGTTATAGCTAAAGATTAGCCATTGTGGACCTTTCTTCACCAATGTAGCAACAAGCCTAGGTAGCTCTAGCTACCACATATACATACACCAATATATAAGGCAGGCATGTGCTCATCTTTTCCTAATCCTTTGGTTCCATGCATTTCCATTTCCATGCACGGATTAGAGGACGGTGCCCAGCCAGCCCATGTGTCGTAAACCAGGGGCGCAAACAGGAAGGCTGCTAACACCTCTCGGCTGCCGCTATCGATCGCTGACGGCCCATCTTTATTTTGTAGACTAGAACTAGCTAGGGCGGCGGGGGGCGCTAGCCTGCTGCTAACTTTTGACTCGCATGCCCCTCGTGCGGGAGGGGGCCCACGAACCGCACCCACCAAGTCGGAAAGACAAGAGGGCAAAACGGTCAGTACGAAACAGTTAGCGTCGTCGTCAGAGGCGTCAAACAGAGCCAAAGGAGCGTCCAGGCGCAGTAGTTGCAAGCCACGAGCCATGAACTCCGTGACGTGTCACCTACAACTAGCTAGAAGCATCGTATCATCAGCACGGGATTCAGCCCCATCGCAGAGGCAAAACGACCACGGACCCTTAAAAAAAAAAAAGATTTTATACTAGTATTTAGCAGCCAGTTCGGTACTGATGGCTGGATCGTGAATTATTACTGCTGGCTGGTTTGGTGTGAGAGAAAAATACTATTCTGACTGAAAGACACTGTTTATGTTAACAGTGCCCGCGTGAGAGGGCTGACCAGCACCAGCCAGCCAGCCTAGCCAAACAGGCCGTAGATTTCATTCATTTTACAAAAAGATACTATAAAATTATTTGGCATGTTTAGTGCCGTTTCTCTACTATTTTCAAGGGGTGTACAAAAAAAATTATTGGAACATTTTGTGCTAGAAATTCTATAACGTTTTTATTTTTTGGAACAGAGGAGCAGAGGGCGGCGATTGTTCCCAAGCACCACTGTTAATCGAAGAAAAATAGTCAGTCTGTTCGGGAGACCGTATCGTATCGTGGATTATTTACTGCTGTCTGGTTTGGTGTGAGAGAAAAATACTGTTCCCAGCTAGAAATTTACGACTGTTTACGAGCAAACGAACAGGCGGAGTGTTCCAGGACACGCTGATTACTGCTACTGCCTGCATTATTCTAGAGCTGCACTAGGGGCAAACAGTGATGACACCGATCAGCAACCATCGCCGTCGTCATTATTGTATTTTAACGTCGTCCATAGAGATTAGAGACGCAACGCCGACCATTTCTTTTCGCCGTCTCCTCTTGCATTGTCTTTTCTCTCTCTCTCTTCCCTTGCTAGCTGTCCACCGCTCATTTCCCGCTCTTCGATTTGGACCTTCTGGATCGGCCACTTCATTTGCAGCAATCAGCATCATGCATGGACTTTTTGCAATGCTATCAGGAGGTGTAATTGGGTGAGCCGTGAGCATAAATAAATAAAAATAAATAAATAAACAAATAAATAAATAAGGATACGTTGTGATTTCATCGATCGTGCACAACAGACACTGGTATAAAACCGAGCTTTACTCCCGGTGGGGAACCCCCTCTAGTCCCGGTACCTCACCCGGGAGCAAGCATCCGGGTCCTTTAGTCCCGGGTCAGAAACCAGGACTAAAGAAGGACCTTTAGTCCCGGTGGATAACACCAACCGGGACTAAAGGTGCCTCCTGACATGCCACGATGGCCGACATCTTTAGTCCCGGTTGGTAATACGAACCGGGACTAAAGGTTTTTTTTTTATTTTCTTTTTATTTTTTTGTTTTCGAAGTCGTATTGTACGCTGCTAATTATACATTTATACGCGCGTATAGTATGTTTCGGTTCAAGCACAATGAACGTATTAAATCACACAATTCAAGCATAGAAAAAAATGTATATATATATATATGCATGCATGCATCATATATATATTTACATGCATGCATGCATATGTGTATTTTACATTATATTATTTCATGTGCATATATTACAAAAAGATTGCATTACAGTTGTTGTGATATAACAAGTTTTCTCTCATCCTCTAGCTTGGTTTTCATGGTAGTGTTGGGTCGAAGTAGAACTCGTCCTTGGAATCGATGACCTGCTCATTAAAAAATCCGGCTATAGACTCTTGAATTGCTTTGATTTGGTCTTGCCGTATGACATTTTCCTCCAACCATCGAGTCTACATGTTTGAATTAAAGGAAAATAAATTAATATATGTACATATATTTATATAAAGACATAGTAACACAATCAATAATAATAATTAAATGAATATATAGTGTATTTTTAACGTGCTTTTGAGTCTCTCTGTAGGAGTTCTTTGGGAGATCACCTTGATAAACTTGCAAACATAGTAACCATGTGAGTTGTTCCCTGTTTTCGCCTCAGACACCACTTTACGAGAAAAAGATTTGTCATCCAACTGGTGATCCGTGAAAGCTATATGTTTAATTAATAAAGATGATGCGATTCAGGGGACTTACTTTCAAAGGGATTACATTCAATTGGCGCTTTGCATTTTTCCATGTGTTGCTTCTCAATAAAGGTTTTCCAAACACTGCCCAATAAAATTTTTGCCACGTCATCAGATATAGTTAATCATCATGTTTGTGTATATATATAGTTGCTAGAGATCCCGAAATTACCTCTGGATGATATCTATCATATCTTGGTAGTCTTGTTGTGGTTTTCTCATCGAGTCATAGATTATCAAGTGACTTTTCACCGGATCGATGTCCATCAATATCCAAATGATTGATGCATGTGTTTATAGGATATAACGATAACACTCATTAATTAACTAGAATCAACATATGAGCCATTAAGGATGATCGATATTATTAACACTCACTTGAAGTTATAGGAAAGAGTATATCCTTCTTGTGGCGTTGGTTCACTAAGAAGTTTATGAGGTTACTCTCTGACTCAGACTTTCAATTAGTCTTTGGAGTAATTGGGTCTTTGAATATTATATGGGGATCAACAAAACCAATTTCATTGCGACCTTCCTTTCTCGAGCTCATCATTGTAAATCTACATATATATAGTACTTGTTAGGATAATTTATATGCATATACACACATATGATGAGTTTAATAATAGATCGAAAGAATTATTACTTATAGGCAATAGCAGCTAATGATAACTTTGTCCAGAGAGGTCAGGTGGCATAGTTGATGAAATT